CTGGGATAAATGAGCGGAAGGGTCGAGGCCAAGGCCCCACCGAGCTCTGCAGGGCTGGGCTAGCTAGACCCCCTGATGGGAGCCCCACAGCACAGTGACAGCCAGATAGGACAGCTAGTTAGTGACCCGGGGAGATCAGGAGATAGGAAACGAAGGAGATGGGGGAGAGAGGGGGACTAGGAGGGAGGAAAATTGTAGGAGCCAGAGAAAGGGAGGCCCGGAGTGCCAGGAGAAAGCAGGTGAGAGGCGACAAGGGCCGGAGAAGGCAGGGCCAGCGGGGGACAGACTGGGAGGGCTGGGGCTCAGGGGTGACCCAGCCTCTGCTTAGCATGTATGAGGCCTGAATTCAATCTCCGGACCAAGACACAAACAAAATGAGACACATGATTGTTTTTTAACCAGATCCATGTTTTGCGAAGGGACCACAGCCCTTTGCCGAGGACATGACACCACCCTTTAGCAAAAAGAGGTGACCCTATAAATACTTCTCTATGGCCAAGGTAAAGGGACTTAGCCAGGGCAGCACGCCAGGGCTGGTGGGGACTCGGTGACTCCAGATGGTCAGTGGGAGGTGGAGGCCCCAGTGTGGCCTGGAGGCATGGGGCAGGTGCCCTGGAGGACCAGGCTGTGGAGGTGGCTCCAGCCCTGGGGCTTGGCCGCCTGGCCGGATTTGACCCCTGATTGCTGGTGTCTGATGGGGTCTTGTGGCCCCAATGGAGGGTCAACCCTGCCCAGGGAGCTATGGGTCTCCCCAAGTCCTTGCCCTGTTCCTCCAGCTCTGGGTCATGTTGGAGGGTCCAGACACGGGCGGGCAGGTCACCGCCTGGTTGTCCAATCCCGAGAGGGAGGGAAGAGTTTGGGGAGGGGATTCAGAGAGTCCTTGACGTCAGCAGAGAGGGTACCTGGAAGATACTAGAGGGAAGCGGGCTGTGGAGCAGGAAGAGCTTGTGCAAAGGCCCTGGAGTAGGGATTTACAAAGTGTTGGAGGAGGGGCTGGGGATGTGGCTCAAGCGGTAGTGCGCTCGCCTGCCG